AATAAACTGGGTTGTTTCACTTTATGTTTAAAAATGTGTAACTTTCAAGTCCAATCAAAATAAACTTGATCGCATTATCACGATTAATTTCTTGAACATTAAAGAAACACAAAGGGGGCAATATACTGACCTTTTACTTGCTTAGTTGTAGTTTTCTCAAAATGCAAACCGATCATGATGTGTGATGTTAATAATGTTTCATTTGTAGCAACTTATGTGCAAACAGATATTTACTTCCTGCCTCGCTGTTTCTTTTCTAACAGCAATGCCAGGGCTCAGCTGTCGATTTTACCAGCACCGGTTCCCAGAGGTGGAGGATGTTGTAATGGTGAACGTGAGGTCCATCGCTGAGATGGGCGCCTACGTCAGCCTTCTGGAATACAACAACATCGAGGGCATGATTCTCCTGAGTGAGCTGTCACGTCGACGTATCCGCTCCATTAACAAGCTCATCCGCATAGGCCGCAACGAGTGTGTGGTCGTCATCCGAGTAGACAAAGAGAAGGGTGAGTGCAGGCAGACGGCTGCTGACCACATGTATGTAGGGTTTCAGAAAGGACAGAAACTGAACATGTTTTTGACTGCCAGGGCCAACACAGTAGTAGAACAGACATAATTAACAATGACAGCCAAACTGTTGTAACTGAACATTGAGTATAATGACAAGCACCAAGGAAAGAGATGGAATCTTTTTACTTCATTATCAGAAGTAGCAGTTAAATAACCATTGACTTATTTATTGTCACAAACAGCTGCGTATTTAATATGTAGTCATTTAAGAAAAGCAAGCGACTTGTGAAGCTGAGACCAGCAAGTGTTTATATATTAATGAATCATGTCATCACTAATCTTACACAATTGTTACTGCAAAATACTGAGTGTCACTTTGACTGTCATTTGGATTTTGTCCTGTAAGAATACTGTTAAAACAGCTCTATAAAACAGTGTCACTGCATTTCTTCATTACTTTCTTTTCAGGATACATTGACTTATCAAAAAGAAGAGTTTCACCAGAAGAGGCCATCAAGTGTGAAGATAAATTCACCAAATCTAAAACTGTAAGTCAAATTGTTGTTGTACACGGGGGCATGAGCTTTTTTTTGTTTTCCTCATAAACATGGCCTAAGCTTTAAATTCTGGAAGTACCTGTCAGCACGTGCTCAGTGGTTTCCTACAGTCCTGCCAAATGCATTGTAAATTCAGTTAGATGAATAAAAAGTACAATCTTCTCTATTTTTAAGCAGATTTAATGAATTTGACATTTCCATCATTGTTTGTACAAAGCTGATTGAGGTGTTTGTGTTTGCAGGTGTACAGCATCCTGCGGCACGTTGCAGAGGTGCTGGATTACAGTAAGGACGAGCAGCTTGAGAGCTTGTACCAGCGCACCGCCTGGGTCTTTGATGAGAAATATAAGCGGCCCGGATACGGTGCTTATGATGTCTTCAAACAGGCTGTATCGTAAGTCCCTCAGTCAAGTGGTGTGGTTTACTGTAAGGCTAGTCATGAAATATTTGCACACTTTTTTTTGTCAATTTTTGCTCAATGTGTTTGTTTTCACAGAGACCCCGCCATTCTGGATGGCCTGGATTTAACAGAGGAGGAGAGGAGTGTGCTGATAGACAACATCAACAGGCGACTCACTCCACAGGCTGTCAAAATCAGAGCAGGTATGGCTGTTACTCTTTCTGACTGTCACACAGTTTCTTAGTTTGACTTTAATGGATTTGAAAATGAAATAAGATGAAAGTATAACCTTAAAGGCTTTGTTTTCCCTCTTCCTTGTACAGACATTGAAGTGGCATGCTATGGGTATGAGGGGATTGATGCTGTAAAGGAAGCTCTGAGGGCTGGACTCAGCTGCTCCACAGAGGCCATGCCCATCAAGGTAATCTTGCTGCCTCAGTCATCTGCAACACTGATGCACATTTGTGAAATTTGTTCTTTCTTCATAAACCAAAACTCTCTTTAATTAACACTTTTACTTTGCACTGTTGAAAGCCTGCTGCTTTAATGGGATTTTTCTTTGCCTGATGACTGCCTCTGAAAAATAAAATGGTTCCGGTGTTGTTCTTGGCAGATCAACCTGATTGCTCCCCCTCGCTATGTGATGACGACCACCACCCTGGAGCGCACAGAGGGCCTGTCTGTCTTAAACCAGGCAATGACTGCTATAAAGGAGAAGATTGTGGAGAAAAGAGGCGTCTTTAACATCCAGATGGAGGTGAGTGGTTTCACTTTTTTTTTTTTTACACAACTATGAATTCATGAAAGCTGCTTGCTTCCTTTCCCCTTGTATTTGTTTTTGTTTGTGATTTCTTGATATTTGATGTTTTCAGAAATTTGCATAAAGTTCTAGTGAGACAAAGGTTTGCACTGAGAACTGTATAAACACAGAAATTCATGCAGAAGTCATCATTTAATCTAATCTCCAAATGTTGACAGACTACAAATACTCAGAGTCCTTCTTGGACATTGAAAAATGGTTCCTTTAACTACTACATTGCGTTGGCCTCGAAAACTGACTTTCTGTTTTTTTGTGGAGTTCTAGCAAATGTCATTGTAAAAATGATTTTTGCTATTTTTAGTTGTTTTTTTTTTCTGACTGGTTAGTGGAAGAAAAAAAAGGGGGTTGGGGGGGAAACAAGATTATTTATATTACAGCTTTGGACTCATTACACATTATGTGTTACACATCACATCAGCGGCTGTGGCTCAGGTGGTATAGCGGGTGTCCTCTGATTGCAAGGTTGGTGGTTCGATTCCCCGCCCCTCCACAGTCAAAGTGTCCTTAGCTGGCAGGCAGCACCTTGCATGGCAGCTCTGTCACCATTGGTGTGTGAATGAATGGGTGAATGAGAAAACATTCTAAAACATTGCACTTTGAGTACCACCAGTGTAGAAGGAAGAAAAATGCGATGTAAGTGCAGACCATTTACCATTACACTTCTACAAAATAGAGCTTTGTTTTTAATGCATTGTTTGTTTATTCTCTTTTTTGTCAATCTTTTTTTTTTTTTTTTTAACTGTTTTCATTTGGGATTGTGTGGAACTTGGCCTTACAGTCCCAAAGTATAAGATCCTAGGTTCAAATCGCAGCCTGTGATTATTCTGTGTGGAGTTTGCATGTTCTCCCCGTACAGCGTGGGTTCTCTCCAGGTTCACCGGCTTGCTCCCACACAGTCCAAAAACATGTTGAGGTTAATTGGTGATTCTAAATTATCCGTAGGTGTGAATGTGAGTGTGCTTGGTTGTCTAAGTGTAGCCCTGTGATAGACTGGTTACCTGTCCAGGGTGTCCCCTGCCTTTACCCTGAGTCAGCTGGGATAGGCTCCAGCTCTCTTTGACCCTACAGAGGATAAAGCAGTGTATGGCTAGTGGATGGATGGACTGTGTGGAACTTCCTGTGTTTGATTCATTGTTTTGTACGCAAAAATAACTATATTGTAAACTGCCTCACAGCCCAAGGTGGTGACAGACACGGATGAGACAGAACTTGCCCGGCAGCTGGAGAGGTTAGAGCGGGAGAATGCTGAGGTGGACGGTGATGACGACGCTGAGGAAATGGAGGCCAAAGCAGAGGACTAGAGTCGGTCCTCGGACGAATGCTGATGGGGAAAAAAAACATGAAAGGAGAAAACATGGACAGACCTGGCCACAGTCACTCAGTCCAACAGCTGTTAACTTTCACATTGCAAACATTAACTGGTGTTACGAGTTTATTGGCAAACATCCCTGTTTGTTCATTAGCAAGGTTGTCTCAGAAGAAGGTAACTCAAAAAGCTGTCTTTTTAACCAGGCATGGGCACAGGGATGATTAAATTACAAGCTAAACAACAGTATAGTTTCTATTTTTAAGTACCCTGATTTCAATAAATAACTCTAAAACAACAAAAGCTGTTTACAAGCAATGGCCTTTCAATTACTCTTGCTTAAGAGCCTAGTGTCTTCAGTATCCATAGCGCTTCATCTCTGGCTGGGCACCGGATGTGATTGACTAAAGGGGAAATGCATTGGCTTGTCAGTCTACACCAGTCAGTGGTGACTTCATTTGCTGATTCTCTTTCAGTTGAAGGGTTTTTACTGGCAAGACCTGCTCTTGTTAGGTTACATAGCATCAATAAAGTTCTAAACTCAATGCATCCTTGTCAGCTGAGTGAAATTGTACAAGATATTTGCCTTATTTAAGGATTGGTTTCCCTTTTAACACTTGTTCTCGCCATCAAAACAACACAATCTTGCTTATATTGACTAAATTAACAATAAACAGGATGCTATTTGAAATATTATTTTACTGTCTGTTACTCTGCAAGCTTTGTTTATAGCACAAAAATCTGGAGAATTGGTTTGAAGCTGGCTGGGGTTGCAAACTTCAAAACACACAAATGCTGGTATTCCATCTTTGAAAATGTAAATTGAAGTAAACCAAGATTTTTGTTCTAAATTTTGGCTTTGATTTAATCTCCATGCTGACCCACCACTACCCACAGAACACCTGCTGAAACATGTTAATAGAAATCAGAAATGCGTAATTAACGGAAATTGTCATTTTACCATTAAATTAGGAGCTGCAAATTCTTCTCATAATACATGTTTATAGCTTTGACAAATAATTCTTTTTAAAATGACTTCTGCTTAGGTTCAGTTTTTCAAGTTGAGTGTAATCGAGTGCCCGTGTGACATCCACAAAGTTTATTTACGTGTTGGATAAGAGGACAGAACATCTTCAAGAACTAAAAATAAAGTGAGTTCTTTTGGTAAAAAATTCTTTTGAGGACAATTTATACAAAAGGTTTGAAAATTTGGAAGATGCTTCAGTTGTCTGAATTTACCCCCCTGCCTATATGACCTGTTTTAACCTTCCTTGCAAACTTTGGTTAATCTGCATTTTAGAACAATTATATTTTGCCAAATTCTCACTTTTAAACTGAGTGAAGTCAGATTTCATGGCAGTGATTTGGTGTGATAAGTAGTGAGAAAATAAAACGGGTTCACAAACATTTACAAAAATCAATTTTATTCAATTTTCACCAATACAAAAACAAATGGAGAGCGTCTTCACAACTGCAAATCATTTTTCCCGTTCTTAGCTCATTCTCCTACAGTGGTTATGATGTGTGTGCTTTTACAGCCTCGAGGATGTCAGCAGACACAGTTCAATGACAAGTACATGTTCTCTGAGATGGTCTGACAATATGAACTTGCCAACCGGTATATCAGGAATGTGATGAGCAAAATAAAAGGTGAAGATGTGTTTATTTAACAGAAATAAACTGGAGTTGTGTCCAAAACCCATAATAAATACCCCTGTTAAAAACAAAGTTACATCCTTGTAGTGGTTATGCATAATGTCTGTGTCCACTTAATAAACCCAGATTCAACTAAGCCAGATGTCAGACCTTGACGACTTCAAAGTAAAGTTCATAACAGAAAACTGCCTGCGGCTTCTTACTCCTATCACAAAGTGTGTTTTGGCATCCAACCCAGTATATAAAGTGTAGGACCCTATCCGCAAATTAACAATGGTCCTGTGTGTCTGTCAGTAGCGGCCTTTCATCAGAGCCCAACAGTGAAGTACTGTATATACACAAAAGTACATTGTCACAGTCAGTACCTGCAAACAGAGGGGGGAGGCAGATGTAGCCCGAGTATGGAGGGGGAGATGTGACCTGAACAACTGGTGCAAATGTAAAAATGAGTAAAATCTGCTTTTACAGTCTATACTGATCTGGACAAGTCACTATGTTTGGGGTGACACAACTTCACTATACTATTAAACAGGATGTATAGATGGGAAAGTCATCTTCACTCTGGTTGTTTTGCTTATTTCACCAGTCCAATCTTCTTCGCTTCAGTTTCATAAATGAGCAACCGCCACATCTTCACAATGAATACCTCGGCTTCTTCATCAAGAACCTGAGCAGGAGCAGAAGCAGAGTTAATTCAACCACACTTCGAGAAGTTGGATGACAGAAACACTGGACATCTCAAGTGTTTTTTGTCATACACAGAAAGTCTACTTGGACTGCTGACTACACTGGACTTTGCTCAGAAGACTACTCAGAATTTATGGTAATATGAATTAGACGAGGTAAGTGATAATGATACCAAAAGATTGGTGAGGCACCCCTGTAGCTCACCATTACCTCAAACATCCCAGACTAAAGTCCCTGTCTTCACTATTGCTACATAATTACAGACAAAAAAGCAAGGTCTATAGATAGTTCACTTTTGAAGACATGGGTTTATTAATATTTGTTTGGTTTTTTTTAAGATAAGTATCGGTAAAGTGATGTACTGAAGTTCTATGTTGACTGAAATAGAGAATATGCATAAATCTCATGATAATGGTCTTGTCTGTTGTAATCTGCAAATTATGACAGGCAAAGGTACCTACTAAAATGAGTGTTTATGGAACAGAGATGATGTCTTACATTTTAGCATATAATGTATTTTAAACCCTGTGTTTGGCAGTGCCCTTACAGACCTGGTATGGCAACAGTGAAATCTTGGAAATCTTTGTAATTTCTTACACCCAACTACACACGGCATTTCTTTGAGTTAGAATGTTAACACACCTACTGTATCATGTGATTTCAGCAATTCATTCAGAGAAAACCCTGACTGCTGTCAACTCAGAGTATCATAACTCTGGACATAAACATATGAACATATATGTAGCATTGCTCACCATGGCAACATCATCCAAGATACTCTGTGGCATGCTGTGAGCCATCACCTGAGAACACAAAGTCAAAAACATCTGGATCAATATTTTAATCCTTTCACTTTCCTAGTGAGAGTACAGTTGATGTAGAGACATGATCAATACCTTGGAGCAGACAAAGTCCACTAACGTCGGCTCCTCCTCACCGATGTACTCAATAATCTTTTTATTAATCCATGGCCGAACACGCCGTTCCATTAGGGTCTAGGGAACAAGAAATGATAGCATAGGTTTTGTTTTAGAAGTGAATACAATTTCTGAATGACTATCATTTAATTGAGAGCAGCAAGAATAAAAATGAAGAAGGAAGAATTTTTTTTTGTCAGCCTGCTCAACACTCACTGTGATCTATTAAACCCTGCATCTCCTCAAGGCCCACATTTTAAACTGTGATGTTCTTTGTTAATTTGCCTGATTAGAGAGGGATTTAAAAAACCAAGTACGCCAGATTTTTCCTCCTCTGCGCAGTGCTCACCGTGTCAACCATAGACCAGTCCAGTGGGTAGGAGAACAGCTCAGGCTTTGCTGTGGGAATCTTTTCGATCAGGCTCTTGATGTGTTTGCGTTTCTCCTCAGCATTTGCTCCCTTTATGCTGGAGAGTCCTGCACCATCCACCCCAAGGCTCTTGTCATCGTCATAATCCAGCGGCACTAGCTTCCTCTTGCGTGGTTGTTCGTCTGTCTCCTCGTCATCAAACTTGTCGAACACACTGTCCACAGGAAGCTTCTTCCTCTTACCTGCGTTGGGTTGACTGGGGCTTCCGGTTGCTCCTGTTTATACAACAAAGAATTATTTGTCAGATTCATCTGTAGTGACTGAATCCTACCTGAACAGTTCAAGTCCTTTTAATGTTTGACAGTTTTAGAACAGAATCTCTAAAGGTGCTCCTTTTCAGTGATCCATACCAATTTACAGTTTATAGCAGTCCAAAAGAAACTTTGGCATTATCTATAATCAAACAGTTTGATATATTTAAAACAATAATTATCATGTTACAGAGGAAAATCTGGCTAGAATATGGTAGTTAACATTTTTCTCCAGCAGTGTGGCTCTCAGCTGTGCCAGTTTTTCACTGCAGTATACAAAGTGTAATTAACAATTAACAAATTCACTGTGGGTAGAGCTACAACAGACAATTAAATTCATTAGCAATTACTCTTCCAATTGTATCCTTGATTAACTAATCATGTAGTCTAAAAAATGTCAGAAGAATTGCTTGTTTTGACAGACCACTTGACCTAAATGTTAAATTTTCAGTTTACTATTCCATTAAAAAAAAGCAAAAAAATCTTCACAACTGAGATGCTGAAACTACTCAAATATAGAATATAGCCCTGGTAAGCAAGTAATTAACTATTCTTTTTAGCTATAGTTTTCTCAACAGAAAATTACTTCCTTAATACTTTAACTCTGCAAGTTTGAAATGATTCTGGTGAAAGGATGTCTGAAAAGCAGCTAAAAAAAGTCCAAGCTAACATCTTCAAATTGCTTGTTTTGTCCAACAATAAATAAAAATTATATAAAACAAGAAATGCCATTACAGATATGCAATATTTTGAACATAAACATACCATAATTACAGCAGCAAACACCTGCCCACTATGAAAAGATATAGCAGAATAATGGCATTCTTTGCAAAGAATAAAATCCCATTCTCTCAGTGTGTGCCGTCATCTGAGCTTCTCAGTTCTCTCTTTTGGCTGCCGGTCCAAATGACGACAGATGGGAAATATATAATTGTGATTTTTCTGACAAACACTATGATTGCTATTTAATTTGAAATGTAACTTTTTAAATTCCAGGTCCAGTTTAATATTCACTGTGTCCTAGATTTAAAACATGCGATGGAGCACTACCACATGAGACACCAGATATGGTGCAGAACGTATACTAAATTGCAGCCTTTGCAATTTGCTAAGTAAATTGTTTCAAATTGTATTTTGGATTTGAAATGGATTAATTGGTTAGCCCTAATGTGAGTCCCTCTCTGTAAAACTGCTGGCCTTCCCCATGCGTATAAGCAGACAGAGCGTGACCTCCTATAATACTGCAGTAGCAAAAGTGTTATGGAGAGCATTCAGCCACTGCCCAAAAACAACAACAGAAAAAGTACTTTATTTCCTTTACCTAATTTGTGACCACTCGTTTCATTTTAGCTTAGTGTGCCCGTTTCTAATGCTACTCACTGCTCTTTTCTCCTACTATGTCTGTTCCAAAGTGCAAGGAGGGAAGGGTTAAGGAAAGATAGAGATTAAATGGTCATACAATGTATTTTCCAATGTTGGCTCGAGCTAATGTTTGTGGCTAGACTATTTTCTCAAATGGGACTGAAGCGCAGTTGTTTAGATCTGAAATCCTGGTGACCTGTTAACATCCAGTGGCTCTGAATGTCGGATACAGCACCTTTAAGTAGATACCAGGAAATGTTTGGCATTTGCTTGTAAAACAATTATTAACAAATGTTGCTGATTTGGATCCATCTACTACCTGATCAATTGTTTCAACTATATCTGAGAGTGTTTCATGTCTGGCCATCTTATAGCGAGATCAGAGCTGTCCTAGACTCACCAAGTTTCAGGCTGAGGCCGATCTTTGGCCTGTGTTCCTCCTGTGGCAGAGCCTCAGGGGGTGAGTTCTCATGGGGGATGATAATGCCGCAGGGTGATTCGTCTCCAGGTGTGTTGGGGGACACATTGCCACTGGCTGACGACACTGAAGGTGCTGCTGTGATGGGCCGCATTGTGGGCTTTAAGCATGGTTTTGCGTCAGAGTTATCCCCATCATTGTCATAATCATCCTCCTCACCCTCCTCCACCTCATCATCCGAGTGGTTGGGCCGTGAGTGTGAGTGTGATTCTGTTCTGTCCTGGTCCTGTCGACGCTCTCTGTGTTCTCGTGAACCCCTGTGGCGTTCCCGTTCTTCCTCAGGTTCCGGATCTTGGATGATGGGATGCTGTCTTAGACGCTCCTCCTCTTCCTCCTCCATCTGGACCAATTATGGAAAGGTATGCAGAAAATATCACCCAATCACAACATTTTACAGAACAGAAGGTTAACATACAGCGAAAGCTGGACAGCTCTGATATGTAGAGATGCAGAGATGCAGACAGACTCAGATGAGTGAAGTGACCTTCACAAAGACAACAGACAGCATGGCTACTAACTACAGAGAGATACCAGCAAACACACACATTATTTTTATAGACAAACATACCCTGCGTAGCTCTGCGTCTGGGTCTGGATGTCCCTCGTCTAACAGCCTCTGTCTGATCTCCTCCAGCTCCTCCTTCTCTCTCTTCCTGTCACGCTCATCCGCCTCCATCTCCTTCTCTCGGTCTCTGAGACGTTTCTGCAGTGCACTGCCCCTAGGGGTCACACCGAAAATAACATCCTTCAGAACAATGGCCTTAGCTGCAGTATTGAATATACTGCTGAGAGTTAGATTTGGGTCACACAGCATCTGCTGCTGTGTGCTATGTTTTTCTATGTTCAACTGCCATGTAGCCCACATCTGTCACACTGAATATTAAATGAATACCTAAAGGTTTAGTCTTTGTAGGATCAAACATCTGCAAATTCAAGACATTTAAAAAGTATCAGATGCAAATAATACTGTCAGAGGCAAGTGTGCACATTCATTTTTTAGAAACAATCTGCTTAAGTTATGTAAAGACGAGATTGTAGATTTTTTTCTGTTGCCCACCTGTAATACTTGGGGTCATCTCTGTCATCATCATAGTCTTCAAGAAACTCTTTCAGCCGTTTGCCTTCTTTTACCTAATGATAAATCATAAATCATGAAAAAAAAGGACAAAGCTAAACTTCTTCATTCTAATAACCATTTCTTCTTACAAATTCTATTGTCTGGCTTGTAAAACAAATCTATGTTGGCAGCACAAAAACATAAGCACATATAGTTCTGCTTCTTAGTTTTAAAAAAGCATAGGCTATTAACTCAGAAAATGTTAGTTAGTATTTTAGCTTCATAAATGACTACAGTGTTAACTTCAACTGTTCAAAGCAGTGTAGGATGCCGATGTGAACATCAATGGCCATTTCATGTCCTCTCACCATTTCTCGTCGGCGCTCGTCTTCTCTCTCTGCCTCCTTGGCATAATCCCGTGCCTTTTTCCTTTCCCTGAGTTCCCAGTTTTTTAGACGCTACAACATAAATTATTTCAGGTAAGCCACAATGTCATATCTGAAGATTAAAACGTTGCTTTTTTTTTTTTAAAACACAGAACACATAGGGCTTTTTTATTTTGTGTGTTTTACGGTTATCTTTCCTCTCTTTGAGGTTCCTCTTTACTTTCTTGAACCTAACAAACTGTATTTTAACAAGCTATGTAGGACCTGTGGCCCCCATGACTAGTGGCATGGCACATCTTCCAAAACCAGACTTCAACATGGGTTTTAATTTTGCATTTGCTCAGCAGTTTTTAACTCTGCCTTTCCTACCTCCTGATAAGCTGCCTCCTTGTCTCGAAGTTTCCTCTCCAGCTTCCTGCGTTCATAGGCCTCCTCTTCATCCTCTTGGTCTCGCTTCTTTTCTCTGTCTCGGCTTACCTCCCTATAAACACAAAATTATGCTTCATTGTGCTTCCGTTTGTTTTGGGGCAAAACAAAATGCCTGGCAATTCAAAGTGGGAAAACTTCCAGCATCCCGTTTTTTGGCACTTCACCTGGATCGGCTGCGGTCAGGGCTCCTGTCACGGCTTCTGTCTCTCTCCCAGTCTCTGTCTCGTTCTCGTTCTCTGGTCCTGCGGTCACGGTCTTTGTCTCGATCTCTCTCTCGTTCTCGCTCTCTTTCCCTCTCCCGTTCCTTCTCTCGTTCCTTCTCCCTCTCACGGTCCCGCCGCTCTCGTTCCCGCTCTCGCTCTTTTTCTCGCTCTCTCCTTTCACGCTCAAACTCCAACCGCTCCTTCTCCCGTTTGTCCTTCTCTTCCTCTAGTTTCTGCAGAGCAAAACACAGACAGGTTTAGCTGATGCCACACAAGATCCAGTGAGTCTTTGCAGTCAATATACAACTGTGCACAGATCAAGTGGTTTCCAGAGTTTGAGAGGTTTCACAGAGGAACATGAACAATATTAATCAGTGCAAAGCTTGTACAAGAAGCTGGAATTTTTAGTGGGAAAGCCTGGAACAATAAAAAGGCTCTCCTTCACTGAGAGGCAGCTTCATCATTCATCTAAAGTAATATGATGTACTTTGTTGCTTTAAACTTGCAGTATAAACTACAGTTTAGCAATAATGTAACTGGAAACCACTTTCTTGGTCATGAAGATCTGTGGAACATGTTCGACTTAAGACCTTCAAAACGAGGTAAACGCGGCAAAAGACAACGCTTCTTCTCTCCTTAAGAGTCCTCTTCTCAGAACAAGGAAAACAAAAACAGATAACAGGCATCAGTCTTTTGTTAAACTAGTTGTTTGTGACTTACAGGTGTTGAACTATGGACTCAGCCCTTCGCTGCCCCTACAAGCCTTTTAAGTTAGGCCTGGGAGGAAAGCAGGTCACACGGTGGGGAAAAATGTTATGGGATTCTGTCTTGCTTAAGCAGCATCATCATTATTATCATCATCAACAATAGCCTTTACTTCAGTGGGTAATATGGAATTCGGTATTGTGCTAAATCAAGAAATGAACATTATGAACATCAGTTACATTTCTGCACAGATAAATGAAATTGTAGAAGCGGTCTTACCCCTGCAGAAGTCTTCAGCAGCTCCTCATGACTCAATATTCACACTCACACCACAACTCTGCCTTCATGGGCATTACACACAAGGCTTCGGATGCAATTTAATAACATTTTTGTAAAAATAAAATCGGATGCAGAATGACAGTCTTGAACGTAGCAATCAATAATAAAACACTTTGTTTAATGTGTTGCATTTCTCTTACATTTGTGTTATTATGTAAGCAACCTCAGTTTAATGTAAACTGTATCTAATCTTAACAACCACAGACAGTCAGCTGATGTCCAGTGAGGAACGCTGACTAACTGAAAGCCGTGGGTGTAACGCAAGCGAAAAAGGAAACTTCTGGCATGACAAAGAAGATGGCAGATGTTAGCAGTAATATTAAACTTTCGGAGCTCCAGTTAGATATTATTATTTATTGCTTTTAAGGGCAGACTCTATTACAAATCCATTTGATTGATTTTATGACTTCTTTTTTTTCCAGCTATTTGGAAGACGCCTTACTTACCTCTGTAGTGACTCTCAGGGATTGCTAAACAATCACTTGACCACCTGCACGGTGCAACAATCTGACTATACCTCAGTTACTAGCATCTGACAATCCACTAGCCCTTTTTTTAAAACAGTGGCTGTTTTGGCAGACACAATTTCAGATTTGTCTTCCCTTGTCTTTCTAAGCCAGGGCAATAAGCTGGAATCATGCAGCTCTGATCTTTCTTGTTTTTTAAATAAATTTTAGATTGTCAGGCTTGGTTTTGATAAAAGTCTAGATTAAGCTTTTCTGAAGACAAAGAAGAAAACAAGGACTGATCACTTGGGTATAACCTGTGTAGTATTTCACTAGATGGATGAACTCACTGTTTCACCTTGTGCACAAGAAAAACTAGAGCAGACAGTAATATACTAATAGAAAGAAAGACACAAAAGAAAGAAATCCCACAACAACACATACAGAGAGCACACACCTTGTCAGTCTTCAGATCGTCATACTGCTGTGGAGAGGGCGCCCCCACCCCACACGAGCATGATAAAAGATACAGCCAAAGTCACTGCAGTGGTTATTGAGTTCTTGTGCTTCAACATGAACACCATTAAGACAGACCATAATTTACAGAGGACTCGCACAGGTTCACTGCCCATGCAACTTTCAAGGGAACTGCCAATGCTGTCAGAAATTCAAATCCTGAAATAGGGAAGCACCTTTGTGTTGTCAAATGGTTGGCTAAATAAAGGCTATTATATGCCAGGCCAACACACACAAAAGAGCAGCGCAGTTGCCCCAATGCAAGTCCTCAAGAGGGGGACGCCCAGTATATGTATATAGTAAATGAAGGCTGATACTTACATCCTATCCTGGCAACTTTTTCCAAAGCTCTGAGATTCATCTTGCTTTAGTCACCATATGATCACTATCATAATGGTGGGGTTTAATGAATAGATTAGCTTTTAAGTAACTTTACATCGTCTCCATGCATTTTTGTGTGATGAATGAGGAAATGGATCTATCATGGTCACACCTAGATAGTTTTACTATGGTGGTCACAGGTGTCAAATCAGGCCTGAGAAAGGTGACAAGAATACTAGCTGTCTGCCTACTTGTGGTGTTTGAACATTGAACATGAAACATTTCAAATGATATAGGGCGCATTAATATGTTTGGTGATGCAAATTTTAAGGACTGCCAATTTGTGGCACAGTATGCATGTTACTGAGATCAAGTAAAGTGGTAAATCAATTAACTAAATGTGCAAGCTCTAGGAGTGAACTATGTGAGCAGCTGCTGTCCAAAACCTGTAATGTCAACTACAAGATCGAAGAAGCCACTTTACCTTGTGAGTGTCACGAAATTTACTAATCTCTCTGGAAATCAGGTCTCTCTTGTCCTCCTCCATGTCAATAGTGTTAATGTCATCCTATGACAAACAGCAGGGAAAGTCAGTTTTCCAGTTTAAATAACAATGCTCTATTTTACATTTATGTTCCAAGAGATGTATGACACAAGTTATACAAGTTAATTAATAACGGTTGGCATACCTCTTCTTTTTTCTCCTTTTTTCTCTTTCGTCGCTGGGACTCGTCATCCTGTGACGGTGCATTAAGTTCTGCAGCATATTCCCGCATCAATCCATCGATGGCACCTTTGATTATCTGATCTTTCTTCTTTGTCTCATCATCTAGAACCTCTTCCTCATCGTCTCCACCATCTTGAGCATTCTTATTCTGCCAATACAGAAAAAAATATCTTACACACACACTTACACTCACATTTACTTGAATTGTTTAACAAATGTAATGTTTGTGCAGCAGTTCAGAAGTCTGAAATGAGACTAAGCACATAGCAGATTCCTTAAGACAATAAAAATATGAATATTGATTAACCTTATAACCAGTAAAAACACTTTCCTATCCAAATTCATACCCCATTTGTGGACTTCTTTTTGGCCTTCCACTCGTCCAGCTGAGCTTTGGTCTTGGCATCCACTTTTACCAGCAAGTTTTTGTCACCAATTTGCAGGTCATGGAGCAGCCGCAAGGCTCGCAATGTGGACTCTGGCTCCTTGTATTCACAGAAACCAAATGCTGCAACAGATATTTATGTGGAAATAGACATGAAAACAGGTTCAAATATGAGAATTTACAGTTTGATGTAATAATAAAAACAAATTAATAAAGTACTTTATGGTCAGGTTTTAAGCTTCAAAGAGATAACAATTCCTTACAACATTAAGCATTTAGACAAAGGAACTCCTGGCAAAAATGTATTTAATGAGACAGGAGAGGGACAAGCATAACAAAAAGTTACGATAAAGATAAGAGAATTCTTTGTTGATCCCCATAGGGGAAATTCGGGAGTTTGAGTTTCAGGCTCATACACACCAACTTCCTAAAATCACAATAATTCAATCAGGCAAAATCCAACCCGATTAAGGCCTAGTGCTAAAACATTGCAAATAAATGTATTTTTGAAAGTTAAACAGTATGCGGGAGTCTTCTGAAACTTTTGGATATGCTTGTTCCACTCCTATGGACCGATCATATGTAATAGATTGCACATCTAAGAGTCTCTGAAAAGTCAATTTTAAGTAAAATCATCTTCATTCAATTACCCATTCATTAAAGTGTTTCCTGACCTAATAATGCACTCACAGTGTGCCATCAATTACCTTGAAGCTTGCCAGAGGCTCCTTGAACTCTCTTCCAGCTCAGAACAATTCCACATTTCTATAAAATGAATACAAAGGTAAATAAATAAATAAGAAATGCCCCAAGTAGAAGTGGATCTTTAAAAAAAAAAGAAAAAAGACCACAGCACATAAGTCAACATTTCAACTGGATGGCTACATAAGTAACACCACTAATAACAAAACTTAGATATGAAATAATAAGAAACCTGTTATTTTATGCTAATAAGATAAGTAATGTTATGTTCTCTAATATACCTACACCTCTGAAAATAACAGTCCAAAGTAGATTGGACTGTTCGAAATAGGACAGTTAAATCACACATGTCATCTTGGAAGTAATTTCCAGGATGAACGGATAATTCTGTTGGAATTACAAAACTATCCACAGTGACTTGAGTACATGTAAGATGCCAAAATGCTTTTTTCCCCCTTACCGCCAGCAGCTGTCTGATCAGCATGTCTGAAGCTTTCTCTGATATATTGCCCACAAACACTGTAGTTGTGGGCCCACTGTTCTCATCGTTGTCTTTGGCTCGCAAAGCAGCAATGTCCCGCTTTGGGACTGGAGGTTTACTGACTACTGACACAGAAGGCACCATTACGGTAGCGGCAGGGGTCATGATGCCCATGTGAACTGGAATCATCGGAGTTCCTGCAAGAGCCAAAGGAAATGTGTATATACATCAACTAGAGACAAAGTCGTGATGTTTTAAATTATTCAACCACATGAACAGCATCTTAATATTACTGCACCATCCCACACTGTATGTTCCGGTCTAGTAACAAGCACCGTTATAACTAACCTGCTAGTGTTAGTTATAACCTACCTAAAAACGGCCAAGACTTTGTACCACACTAAAGTATGTCAAATGAAGGCAGTCATACAAATTTACGCTGAACAGCGATGTGCTTACCTGAGGGGAAGCCAGCATACTGCGGGGGCATCCCAGGAGGTGGCAACAGCGGCCGGTTTAAATGAGGGGGGAAGGACATTCTGGTTATGTATTGGACCGACCTGGTGAGGGAACAGTGACACCAATTGAGACTCTTCAGTGCGGTCTTACAAACAATGTAAATACAGCATTTGAAATACAGATCAACGACATGCAAGCATTATCGTATTTCATTAAGTACACAGGAAAATACTTTCATGTTGTGTCGACATACAAATCGTAAATGCACTTGTGACTTTGGCTACCCAACTGTGACAGTACTTGAAGTTGGTTTAGCTAAGTGAGGTTACGGTCGATAACTTTGTATCGTCACTTTTTGTTTTAGCTGAGTAACTCGACCTCAAAATGAGCGACTCAGAAACAATCAATTTTGTTCGCTACAGCTAACACTCTGCACGCTACCGAACCTAGCACAGCTACATTAAGCTAAGCTAACATTACCTAGAGCTGGTGCTACTCAACAAGCAAGGGTCACTTTACAGAGTTAAATATGAGTTTGGAGTGATTGTGAAAGGTCCGTACATACATACCCCAAATCAGGTGACGTATATAGGAATGAAAAATGCTATCGGACGGTTTTTAATTACAAAAATCTCTCTTACGTTTCGAATGTTGAATTAGCACACGGGCTAGTCACAGGCCTTCAAAAATATTGGCGCAAGCGCTTTACACACCACAATACAAGCGCGCTTGTTTTGTACATCCGGACGTGGCAGCTGGACGGAGCAAGAAAATGCCACAGAGTAACACCAGTAGTACTGATAAGAATACTAGCAGCATATTTCTGCTTCTCACAACATCAATACCAATAGCATTTTATTATTACTAGTTGTAGTAGTAGAGGTAGAATTATTATTATTATTATTATTATTATTATTATTATTATTATTATTATTATTATTATTATTATTATTATTGCATGCTGATAAACATAATCATGAACACCAAACTGCTCATAAATATCAAATATGCCAGACGATGGATCAGTCGAAAAACTGATGATTATTTCACTGAATTATTAAATTGAACAAGCAGCTCAGCACATTTATCTTTCTATGAGTAACTCTATTCTTTAGCACTTTAAAAATCAGTGGATCTCCTATGTTTGATGGTTGTATCTTTTGATTCACTAGATTTAAAAGCACTATCAACTTTAGCAGGTTTTTTTGTAATTATATAATGTCAGCACAGTCCCAGGACACAGGTGTGTGTGGAACCATGGCTTTCCATAACATTTTTATTATCCCTGTTTTTGGTATATCTTTAAGATATTTTTACTTTAACTTGCACATCCCACTATTAGTCAGTGTAGTGCTGTAATGGCTGTTTTTTATTCCGCTCCACTTTGTGTACTTCAGTGCTGCAGTGGGTTCGTTGTCATGGTGTTTTTGTTGTAGGTAGATCTGAGCAGCTGTGTCGCGAGGGCTGCATCTGACAACTTCGTGACGTAGCTTTTAGGCGGGTTTTTCATGGAAAGTGCTAGAAGAAACGAAGCACACCCTCCCGGTTTTAAATATTCCTCCGAAAGATTAAAAAGATCCACAGTCTTGGTTAATTTGCTGAAAGTTAAGCACCGTACAAGTAAATATTATTGAAAACATTTGTCAGTTTGGTGCAGATAATTCTACCTCGACAGTACACGGTGGCAGCTTTGGAACCTTGTCCGTCTGCAAAAAATTGCTTTCTGAATGAAGCTCTTCTATTGCCTGTCACAAGATGGCAGCAATGCACGCTGCATTTAGGGGTTGGTCTTGTTGGTTATTGCTTATGATCATACACTATATATTACTTTGCTGCCTGAGACACAATCCTGTCCTTTAGGGCTTCACTTCACTAACGTGTCTTGACAAATTATATTTGTCTTGTAAATTAAACACACATCACTTTGTGCTAAGGTGTTTTGCTAGTACTTCATACAGTATGATGCAGTCAAAAACAGCATTTTTCTGAACAAAACCCTGTTTATTCATTGTGCCATTAAACAGAGTATTTTCTTGCAAGTCGGTATGTTGGACTGAGACGTTACAACGGCAGTTTTACGGACGATCTGTTACTCAGACTAGTTTCAGTTGTGTATGGTGCTGCGCGGATGGATACGGTCGCACACTGAAACGCGTGTGTATAAAGATTCCGGTCTATTAAAAGGAAGTCCCTTTCTATTTCCCTGCGTCAGAGAGCAGAAGGGACGATACATTGGTGGCATTTTATTCAAGAAAAGTCAACGAAATAACAAGGTATGTGGAGGAATGGTTTGATACCTTCTTGCACACATTCTACTGCTCCATTATTTGAGTTTTGTTAACCTATTACTGAAATATTTAGCGGATGTGTCCTCGCACCATGAGTCACGGTTTAGCATCATAATGTTAACCGAGTCGTGGGCCACAGATGGAATATTAATATTGTCATTTCACTATTCCTATACCAGTGGTTTAATATTTGGCTTAAAGGTGCGGTATTCGTCTACTGACCGAAAATTTGTAATGCTGACCAATGCCATTGCGACACTGTGCCGCACTGAAAGGCCAGGCGTGTGCTACAGCAGGGCAGGTGTGGTGAGGATGACAGCGCTGCTCCGTATGCTTACGGACCTACAGCCGTGATAGGAACTCATCCTGCATCCGACAGGGCCAGGTCATTGAACAGAACACGAAACTTAACTAAAAAAAACATTAAAGTACAGCTGATGTTTTTATTAAGGATGATGAAATGGTGGTTGCTTTCATGTGTTAATGTGAATCTGTGTAAGGGGACGTCCATTTATTTGTTACGTAACTAATAAACACACGATCTATTCACTAACGTACTCGCAGTCTGATAAATGTAGGACGCCGTCTGAAATGGCAAGTAATTGTTTCGGCTTTCCTTCGGCTCGTACGATCAGGTTGCCTTATAGTGACTTAGGGTTAGTCGTCGCCAGCGGCTTTTAACGATACACTAAATAAAGCTTTGATCTGAAGTGAACATCTGGTGCCGCATTTCATAACTGTTTAATATTTTTTGTCTGTAGCTGCTCCTTAGCACGTGTTTGCGGGCTCCATTGTCTGTCGGTGGACGCCATATTGGTTCACGGCCACTTCCGTCGATATGTAATGCATGATGGCAGCTGTCCAAGTTTATGAAATCGGCTTTCGTTCGGGATCAAATGATGTTACCGTATTACGCCTAACAAAACTGAAATAGTTAGTACGTTTTAGCAGAATGCATTTTGCACATTAAATTCCCCCCTTTAGATATATATGGTGGGGTGTTTTGTTGATAGGCAGTGCTTTATCATCCCTAAATCGACTGTGCGTTTGTTTTTTTGTTTTTGTTTTGTTTTTTTCATGTTCAGCCCATCGCAGTTTGCTAACACAGGATACATTTTGTTTTTGTGCAGATGCCTGAAGAAATGCACCAAGAGGAGGAGGCTGAGACCTTTGCCTTCCAGGCAGAGATTGCTCAGCTGATGTCCCTGATCATCAACACCTTTTATTCCAACAAAGAGATCTTCCTCAGGGAGTTGATCTCCAATGCCTCTGATGTAAGTCTGCAGGAGTTTGACAGTCATTTATTTTCTAGCTGTTTTGCTGATTTTTGTCATGTTTTGTTATCGGTCATTTTTGGGCTTCTGATTTGCTTTTAAAAGTATACTTCCTATAGCCTTGTATTTTTCAATGTCTTTACAGGCTCTGGACAAAATCCGCTACGAAAGCTTGACTGACCCATCCAAGCTGGACAGTGGTAAGGATCTGAAAATTGACATCATCCCCAACAAAGCTGACCGCACCCTGACCCTCATTGACACTGGAATTGGCATGACCAAAGCAGACTTGATTAACAACCTGGGTACAATCGCCAAGTCTGGTACAAAGGCCTTCATGGAGGCTCTGCAGGTACTACAGGAGAACACAATTTAGACAGCAAAATGATGTGGGGTGGATGGGGGGAGGGGAGGAAGAGAAGAAAAAGAAACCTTTTGAAGAAAGGATTTAGATTCAAATTTTATACTTAAGGAAAAACATTTTGATAATATTAGGAATAGTTATATTCTGAAATTACAAATATTGTGCATTCCTCTAGGCTGGTGCTGACATTTCCATGATTGGTCAGTTTGGAGTGGGTTTCTACTCTGCCTACCTTGTTGCTGAGAAGGTGGTAGTTATCACCAAGCACAATGATGATGAGCAGTATGCCTGGGAGTCATCTGCTGGAGGATCCTTCACAGTCAAGGTTGACAATGGTACGTGTCCTGGAATTGTTTCAGTTTCACATCTCTAGAAATGAAACAGCTAGTTAATTGGGAGCTATTTTGCTATTCATCTTAGTGTTTGAATGCCAACTACTTATAGTTCCAAGAACTCAAGTTTCAGATTCACAGCTTTCCTTGGTTTTGTGTTGGTTATGTTTTGTGTTTTGAGCAGAAAAAGGTTGCTAATGCACAGACTGTTTTGTTCATAGGTGAGCCCATTGGCCGTGGCACAAAGATCATCCTGTACCTGAAGGAGGACCAGACAGAGTACATTGAGGAGAAGAGGGTCAAAGAGATTGTAAAGAAGCATTCTCAGTTCATTGGTTACCCCATTACCCTCTTTGTAAGTACTGAATTTGACAATATCATGTACCACCATTTTAGTTTTAAATTAGTTAAAATTTGGTTTTGCAGTGGCGTTAAAATTAAGTAACTTTGATTTGCAGGTTGAGAAGGAGCGTGACAAGGAAATCAGCGACGACGAGGCAGAGGAAGAAAAGGCAGAGAAGGAGGAGAAAGAGGAGGGTGAGGACAAGCCAAAGATCGAGGATGTGGGCTCTGATGATGAGGAAGACTCCAAAGACAAGGACAAGAAGAAGAAAAAGAAGATCAAAGAGAAGTACATTGATCAGGAGGAGCTGAACAAGACCAAGCCCATCTGGACCAGGAACCCTGACGATATCACAAACGAGGAATATGGGGAGTTTTACAAGAGTCTGACTAACGACTGGGAGGATCACCTGGCTGTCAAGGTAAATGGAGAAATACAAAAGTGTCTCTTGCATGTGTCAGTTGTCTACTGTGACTAAAGCAAAAGAAAATGCTTCCTCCTGACAGCACTTCTCAGTGGAAGGTCAGCTAGAGTTCCGGGCCTTGCTTTTTATTCCACGGCGTGCACCTTTTGACCTCTTTGAGAACAAGAAGAAGAAGAACAACATCAAACTGTACGTCAGGAGAGTCTTTATTATGGACAACTGTGAAGAGCTTATCCCAGAGTACCTGAGTAAGTTGACTATCTGGTTTTTCCCTGTTGATCTGGAGTATGCTTTCACAGTTCAGCAAAGATATATTCCAAGCATGAGCACTGGTGACCTTACAGTGTAGTGACCAGACCCTACTTATTGAGCTGTGCATGGACATGCGTGTTGATGTTTGCAGGCAGATAATGGAATTTGTGGTGTGCTGGCCCTTGCATACTCAGATGTGGAAAGCATAACACTGGCCTTAAATCAATATTGAAATATTGTCAGCTAAAAAAAATTTTTTGTGTTCGTTCCAGATTTTGTCCGTGGTGTTGTGGACTCTGAGGACCTGCCCCTCAACATCTCCAGGGAAATGCTGCAGCAAAGCAAGATCCTTAAGGTCATTCGTAAGAACATCGTCAAGAAGTGTCTTGAGCTCTTT